ATAAAAAATATTAAGTTACCGAGATAAAGCATTCGTTAGCAGCCATGTTTAGGAATAGTCTTATTATTTTCAATAAAATAAAAATGTTTACATATAAATACTAATAATACAAACTTAATACAATAATGTAAAACCTTACAGGAATGTAAAGCCTCTTTATAGAGAAAGACCTGCTTTCCAAAATCACTGCGTGGTATCTTTCAAAAGGATTGAATACATGATACTAAAGGGTTGTTCTTACAATAGTTGAACCGAACTTTCTTTCATTGTCTACGTTATAGGCATTATGACTATAGCGGTTTAGAAATTTGCTAAGTCAGGACTGACCGTCCCTACAGTCGATTCTAAATCTTTTCTGCTTCTGTCGACGCTACAGCTAAAGTTATTACGTAGAAAAGGACCGCTCCGACTAACAAAAACATATTCAAAAAAAGTATACTCCCCCTTTAACTGGATTTTCCAACCGTTCTAACTGGACACCTTTTCTTTGTTTCCTTTTTAAAAACGCGTCGTTTTGGTGTTACCTTTTTAAAAACGCAGGAAACCCATTTTAGTGTGCCACAAAAACGCAGGAAAGTGCAGCTAATTAAAACAAAAGGGGGATAACGATCGAGGAAAGGGCGGGTGGTCGTCAAGTACAGACGGAAAGTGATCGACGCGATCACCGTGAGAGCGGCGAGAGACCGGAGAGGAGACCTCGAGAGAGGTTCTCTCGACTCCCATGCACGTTGAAGTAGTTAGTAGTAGTCGCGGAGTAGCAAGAAAAAAACCTTCAAACTAACCTTCACGCTGGCTAGTATCCGTCACCGTGGCGAAGAGATTCCAGAGATGTGGAAGTAATCACATGATGCACTAACAACGAACGCACAGCACGATCGCACTGCTACCGGGCTAAATCCGTCGACGGGGACGCATCGGTCGGGACGCCCGCGTGCGATTCGTGCGATCCGCGACCGGCCAGGGCGCTTCTTTCTCCCTCTGTCACTGCCTCTCTTTCGCTTCCTTTCTCTCTCCGTCTCACTCCCGCCCTCCAGACAAGGTGGTATTCCAAACGGCGTCGAGGTGCACGGAACCGTAACGAGGCGATCTCGCGATTCTCGCGAATGCGGCGAACGCGAGCGAGCGCGAGCGCGAGCGCGAGCGACACCAGACACTCACACAAGGAGCCAGGGACGACGGAGAAGGCCTGTCGCGATCCCGCGACCGCCTGCGTCCGGTGATCCGCGGTGATTTCGAGAGCGAGCGATGAATGGCTTCGATGACAGCCCACGATACGCCCGTGCGTCGACGTCGTCGTTGTCGTTGTCGTAATCGTCGTCGACGTCGTCGTCGTCGTCGTCGTCGTCGTCGGCGTCTCCGGCGGCGGCCAGCGGCGGCGGCGGCGGCGGAGCGGAGTAGCGACACAGACAGGCAGGGTAACAATGGCGGAGTATGACGTGCTCCGAACCGAATGTACGGTACGGGGTTAGGAAGGGAAAGGGGAGAAAACCGGTACCGCTAGATGTCGCGACTAAGCGGCGATTGTACCGTATGCTTCCTTGGTAGAGGAAGCTCGGGTGAGTTACGAGTGTTACGAGTTACGACGTGTCGTTATCCTTTTTACCTATTCGGAGCTGATCAAACGAAAAAGAAGAAGGTCTATGTGTCTCCTCCCGAGATCTCAGGCAATTTTTTCGCCAATCCTCCGAAGGATCCGCCTCTTTCGCTTTTCGCAAAACAGAACAGTTTTGTCATCCCTAGGAATCTTGGGTTCTTACTTTTGTTCTACCTTTACTTCGCCAAAATGTACTTTATGACTAAGGTTCATTCTGTAGAATTTTTTTTAGAGATCCAAGATGAATGTTGCCATACTTAATTGCATTGCGTTTAAATCATTTCGTTTAAATCATGCTTCGAATATATGGCAAAACGGGACGGGACGTTCTTTATTACGGAATGGTAAATTAAAGCAGCCGCGTTTTCCAAATATCGACGCGTTCGGGGAACGGATATTCTACTGTATGTCACGCGCGTTCGAGAGGGCGACAGTGGAAAAGATTGCCTTCGAATTCGAAACGCTAAAAAGTATTTTTTTAAACAGATATACATATATATATATGTTTTCTTTACACCGATCGATTCAATTTATTATTCTGTGTATAAAGTATTGAGACCATTGTCTACTCACTGCAACCATTTTGGATTGTGTGACGTTAGAAGCGAGAAAAATAAAATTACAATTTTTTAATACAACAACATTTGCAATCGATAAAATAGATTTGTAAAATATACTGAAAACTCCCTTTTTGTTTTGGTAATCGATAAATAACCAGATATTTGAAATTGAATTGTGCCTAATCAAAAAATGAAACAAACTATATACGACAGTTATCAAATTGAGAAATAAATAAAATTTTATTTTATTAAAATCAAAATAAAAAGAATTTTCAGTATATTTTACAAAGCAAATGTACTCTATCAAATATAAATATTGTTTTTTATTAGAAAATATTTCTATTTTAATATATCTTGCAAGAATTTTTATTATGTCTGTTTTCACTTCGTGACATCATAATCTGATAATTTGTAATAAGTGGCCACGAGCCTTAAGATATACTTATTCATTAAAAAATGAATAGTTGACGAAATATTTTACATTCCATGTTAAAACGTATTAGAATAAAATGTAAAACATCTAGTATTTTTGTTTTAAATATCTAGTAAATTATTAATTTTTTAATAACTCTAATACTTTTATAGGTACAATAATTAGAAGAAATATATTTTGTAAAAAAATCATATAAATTTAAAATAAAAAAAATGATAATGTATTGTATGTAATCTCGAAGAATGCATTTTTTCGAAAAATTATCATATTATTTGTGCCTTTTAAACCATGTCATATTTATCTGAAATATTTTTCTGCAAAATTGAAAACAAAGATAATTTTAAGAGATAATCATTTAAAACAGGACACTCTGTACATATAGATACTTTATAAAAACATGTGGATCCCACTTCAACAACAGAGTATACAAAAGCAATAAAAAAAAATATGTCCTATTTTATCTTAGTTTCAGAGTATATAGTCATTTTTGTTATATATAGTCATTTTTGGATTTCAATAATGTGAAATCATATAAATTATATAAGAAGTGCTCGAAAATGGGCTATAGTGTTGATAATAAGTAGTTTACCACTATTTGGCACTCGCTTTTTTAAACAAATCTATATTTCATAGATATTCCTGTAATTTTTAAAATATTTTCTTATCTGACAGATGTTTATTAAGGCTCATCTATATCTATCGTAATATCTATCGTAAGCTTGACTCAACTTTAACTCTTACGATTATGATGCTTGTCTAATGATACATAGACTCTCGTCAATGAGAGTCGTTTATAATATTCTTATTATATTGATGATGATCAAGACTTGACCGAAACGTCTACTTTGTTACATTAAAAATTTTTTAAATATACGACTTTCGCTAAAGACATCTTGCATCGTAGCTGTATGCTCCTTATTATTTATGTTTTGTATTATTAAGCCACTTTTAAAAGTTTTTAAAGCTAAATAATTACTTTTTATAATGACATTATAATTTTTCATGATGTTAACGTTAACGATAAGAATTAGAATTAATAGAATTTTAAAAGTACATTAAATTTTATTATATTTTTAACAGTATATAGTTATAAACATGTCGCTAAGAGTTCTGCATAAATTAAAAATCTTAACACATTTATATTAGAGTAATGTTAATTTAATTAAAAATATCGGAATTAAAAAACGAAAATTTCATATCACTTTGACTTTACATAATGTGGGACAAAATCGAAGATATTAGGTGTTGGAATTAATTCGTAGCGTTTTACAAGTGATGGGAAGTACTTTCATTAATGTATTTTTTAATGCTCATGTGAAATAAATAACATTCTTTCATTAAAAAACGCTACGAATTAATTCCAACACCTAATAGTATTGTAGATGTATTATCCACTGAAATATCATCCATGACAATATAGTTCAATGCGTACGTTTTGTGCATGTGGAGGCGCCACTAAACGCGAAGTTCCATCTAAAACGCAAACACTTATATCAAATATTTACACCGACGTACTTTATACTTTTCGTTTTTATTGTATTACGCATAATTATAATTTAAAATTCAAGTAGATTTAAGGTGTTAGTTTAAAAGTTTATAAAGTTCTTTATAAATATTTATTTTTCACATTTCGATATTGTCCCTTAAAGTTACAAAAGGCTACAGGTATGTCCATAAAACTTAATGATTCGATTCCTAATACCTTATCGCAATGTTAGGAACGTTACTTCATGAAATTAACGCATTACTGTTACTTAGAAAATAATGATTTGTTATCTTTTTCATTTTACGTTTTTTTTTTATGTTAAAATAAAATATTAAGTAAAAAATTACAAATTTTTGATAATCAATATTAATTGTCAAAATCAATATTAAAGTAAAAAATTCTAAGCTACAATCTTAAGCTAACAATTGTAAGATAAAGATAAATGAGTAATATTACAAAACTTTTTTGTAACACAGATTTTTTTAGGAAATCACCAATTAGCTCGTGCGTACGACGTCTGTTACACAATCATTTTAAGTACATATGAATATACATATATAAGAATTATACAGAAAAACGCAGAAGTACAACCTTTCAACATATGTCAGTTTGTTTACACTCATCTACTAATAGAGAAGAATATTAATGAATTACCATCTAATAGAATGTCTTATAATTATTTAACTTCAATAAACTAACTAATTTAGCTTCGCATTTCAACATATCTCAAACTTTTTTTAGCAAAAGATAAGAACAATAGTATATATATATATATATATAGTAATTATAAATGTAATAATTAACTGAAAGATTACATCCTGAAATTAAAAAAAAATCTAATTAATCCCAAATAAAATAAGTAATAATAATAGTTTTAGTGAAAATTTATCGATTATAAATAATTTTTTAATACTGCTTCAGTCGGATAATAACGTCGGTTTTCGTTCATTCGTCATACAATCCGATGAATTCGCGTCGCAGTGTGTTATCAGTAGTTTAGAAGCTCTCGACAACTCAGCAGCCAAGATTCAATCTCGCCATGATCAAGTGTTAAGTTACATTTTTCCGCTGGACGCGTGAAATTGAATGCGCGAAATGAAATTTGATACGCGGCAATGGTACGCCGGATTGTGCCAGTCAGCGTTAACAATGCCAATTTCGCCCGGTAACGTCACCGCGACTGTGGCGACTACACGTCGCTCCGCTTAATCCGCCTTTGTGCGTGATTTGTGCGATGCGATCGAACGCGGCGTGTGGTGTTCAGTGGTGTTCAGTGGTGTTCAGCTAGACGGCACGAATCTCGATAAGTAATCGCTCTGGTGCGGCGCGATCGAGTGTTGTTTATTACAAGTGGAACGGCCGAATCGAGTATCACGAGGCGTGTCCTACGCGCCTCCAAAGTGGACGGTACGTACGCATCGTGCACGCGCCTCACACGCGCCTCCATACCTGCTCTTCTGCAAGCAACGCTTTCGATCCGTGGGAGGAAGCAACGCGCTGACGCGAACCAGAATTCTACGTGAATACCGCGACCATATAATCGGCTGAAAAGTATAATTAACAGAGAGTTTGTAATGAAATATGAACGAGCGGACAGAATAACATAATAAGGCCTAGAAGTGTTCCTGTTTTTTGCTGCTACACTGGTCTGCCCTGAAGCTTTCTATCTCGCTTTTGCCAAACTTCAAATATATATATATATATCTATTTCATTTTAAGTATACGAGTGTGCACTAGTTTAGTTGGACTGATGATAACGGAGCACGTGCTCCAATTTTCATGATGCGAGCCAAAGGGAAGACCAGTTATCAATGAAAACCGGTGGAAAATTCATTCAAAATATATTCATGGTCCGATTTTAAGATTGTCTTAAATGCAATCTGGAGAAAGACTGCACGATTATTTCTGGTCATTGACTAAGTGGAAAGGCCAGATTTAAAACGATATTGCGATATTGAATGCATTATGAGACAGAGAGTGATCCGGAAAGTATATAGCGTGACCTCCATTTTTATGACGCGCGAAAAATTTAAAAAGGTTTACAGGGAGATTCGAATTAGATCGTAGATCGCGAATTAGAAGAGAAGGTTTAGATGATCGATTTTATTACACATGAAAGACATTTTAACGAAGGTAGGAAATGGAATCGATATGCTTATTTTTTCTACCGCGCCTTCATCAAAACCGAACAAAGGAGAGCTAAAACCCCCTGCCTAGGTAAAAAATCCTGAACAATCTAAAAGAGAAAGAGAAAGAGAAAGAGAAAGTGGAGCATGTACCCCCGCATGTGTAATTGTTTCTACTCATAAAATACATTTTTCCCTGTGCATTCTGTATTTCTGCAAACTTTTCGTCCCAGTCATGAGATCCGGTCTTTTTAGCTATTTGCTTTCACATTCATTATTTGAAATGAAACGAGACCCAGACGTATTATGTGGATGAAGAATGAGAAAAAAAAACTATAAGAAAGTAGGGCAAAAAAAAAATTGACAGACTATGTCGTAGCTCATCCTGTGTACAGAACGATCCTATTGTATTCGACTCAGCCTGAGTGTGCACGAAGTTCGTCTATCAGTTACGGCAATTTTTTCAAAAATCCTCGTCGAAATTGGAGTAAAAAATTGGAGAATGTTGAAAGCGGAGAGGGAGAGGGGGGGGGGGAGGAGAGAAGAAAAAGTGGAATCCCAGGATTTCCGGGACAGACTCGATTCATGGAATCAAGAACAATTGTGGCAATGCTCCGATGTATTTTCCGACAACTTTTACTTTTGTAGTACGCAAACTAGACCACGAACCGGAAAGCGATATGAAAATTGAAAGAGAAAGATAGTTTAATCGATAGAGAACACTTTTAGGGTGTTCAGATTCCCATCCAAGTCATGTCACCCAAGTCATCATTTTATCCTTGTTTAACATTCGGTGAACTCGAGTGAGAATCTAAACATAGCCTTAAAGAGAGAATCTCATTTAAAAGTAAAAAAAGAAGTGTTTTCAAAATTTTTTTTAAAGAAAGCTGTTATTCAATAATTTAAAAACTTTTCCACATGAAAGACATATATTTTATGATTAACTTATTGCGTTCATATTGGGCTTCTCCTTCTCCTGCTACTATATGTAGATTAATTAATGATAATCCACAGCGATTTTGCGGGGCTCTCATTTCTGTCCTATAAGCCCGAAATAAAAAAATTAAAATTTGTTTTACTCATTAAACGTTGTTCTTGTTATTAAACTTTCATTATTTTTTATATTTCGTGACATTTCGACATTTTGTATCAAAAACAATAAGTAAAACGAACTTTCACATTGAATCATAAAATAGCAAGAGAAGGAGAAGCCCAATATAAATGCAAAAATTTAGAGATAACCATGAAACATATGTCTTTTATGTATAAAAGCCTCAAAACATTAAAATAAATAGCTTTAAAAAATTCTTATAAATATCTTATCTCTTTCTTGTAGATGAGATTCTCTCTTTAAGGGCTGCCTAGTTTGGAGCGTCGAAAAATTAATTTTTTTCTTTTTCTTAATAGACATAAATAAATAATAACTATGGAAAAGAATTTTCGGAAAATTTAAATACAATTCTTTGCAAATTCTTGGAATTACAGTGATATAAGCGATCCAGTTCCGAAGTAAAAAAGATTTTGATAACAAAATAGACAAGTTAACTCAATCTGATTATTTTTATGAAAAGAATGATATTATAATTTAGGAGAGAATCGCCGATTAAAGAAACTTATTGTAAAAAAAAAAGCAAAAATATTCTAATGCGTTTTTTACAAAAGTGATTTTTTTTAAATTTTGTAATAATATAGAAAGAAAACGACACAATAACGTCTTCTTGTACATTCCGCTTTTAGCCTGGATCTACAATATGTTTTTAAGCCTTAAGCCATAAGAAATGAATGAATTATCAATTATTCTCCTCACATTCGACTATAATTAATCAATTTCTTACGACTTAAAATTTCTTAAGGCTTAAAATATCTATTGTAGAAACGAATTTATACTCCATTATTTCCAGTGAATTCTATATATATAACATATTGGAGCGAGCCATCAAGGAATAGGTCTCAATTTCTAAACAAGGACACTCTAATGCAAAGTTGGTACTGTTTTCTTTGTTAGAGATTCGCTGATTGGTTAATGCTGTTTTCCTGCCATAAGTAGAAGAGAACCAATATTGTTTATTTTCCTTTTTTCAATTCAGTCCCACTTTTCTACAGTTTAATGTAGGAAAGGCTCGCTGCAGTATATTATAGAGCTCACTGTGGTTACTTCGATGGAGGAGTAATGGAGAAAATTTGTGAAAAATCGAGGGAGTAGAAGACTAACACTGCAGACTGCAGATAACGGTGCAGTTGGCCGATAACGTACTTCAATTTTTGCGCGACCCAGAAGAAAGATTAGTTATCAGCAAGGATCTCGGGCACGAGGACACCACGTGCGAGGGTGCAACTGAGGGCGGGAAACGGTGCCTCCGATGATGATCGATAGCCCAAGAGGGAGGAAGGGAAGGAGAATGGAGGTAGAGTATTGCGTGTATATCGACGAAGCGTTTCGCTTTCCTCGGTTGCATATTCGTGCTGACCTGACCGCCGAAGTACGCTCTACGCGCATGCACGCCGCGGACCTTTCCTTTCCTTCACGATGACAAATCGAACGAGCAGTCGCCACCGAAAGTGTTTCGCGCGCACAAGACCGAGAATCTCTGTTATTTTCTTGCCGCTTGGCCGATTCATACCACACATTCTCGCCCCGTGTAATAGTCTCGTCTGCATATTCATCGTAGTCTTTACGCTCGTTCCACGTTCTCGCGCCACGCTTGGATTTTTCGCTTGGCCGCCTCGATCAACGTCGATGCACTCGGTAATAAGCGTCGCTGTCACTCCCGCGAATTTGCAGCGATATTCTGTTAAATTAATGGCATGGCGTGCATCGGCACTTCGCTTGTTGGGACATGTCCTAAACAGGGATTATCGCTAGATAATCCCTGGCAATTGAATCGAGATGCCGCAGTATCCGATCGTCCGCAATGTTTTGGATCACGTCTGTTTGTCACGATGTCACGGATGTGTCACGGATATTTCTCTATGATTTGAAATGCCGATGAACGTTGCTGATATAACACGGAGTACGGCGGATCTGCAGAGTATATTGCTTATAATTTTATATTATTGTGCACATAATAAACGTGATATAATCAAAGATACAGATTCAAAATTGTTAAAATCTTCGTTTTCTACCTTTGTTTATGCTTATTACTATATTATCAAATTATCACCAATTGATAATAGCACAAGTATTTATTTATTGCTTTATCACATATATTATTACGTTTACACAGAAAAAAAGGATTTGTTAGAACTCGGAACTTTATTGATTCAACTAGCAAATCTACAACGTATGGTTACACGATACGGTATACGGATTATTAGTTTTTTCTATGTTAAATTAGCAAAGCTGTACAGCTGAATAAAGTTAACGCGCGTGCGATTATAGATATAATATAGTATAATATTTATTATAATACCATAGAAAATTTGTTAATGCAGTAAAAGATAACTTTCTGCAACAATCAATTCAATACATAAATCAAAATTTTTAACAAAACATACTAGCTAAGAGATAATAAATACTACTATAATAAGAAGAAAACTTATTACATCAGCAATTTTTATTGTATCAAAGAATTAGTTGAATTAACATACTAATTGCTTACAGACATAATTTCTTTGTTAAACAATCAAATCTTTTTTGTTCTGATCTCGCGCAGCATCTGTAGTTTTATTGAATCACCCAAACTATTTTTTTCCGTGTAGATAACGTGAAAATTAAATAATATACATATACGTATCTATCAATCATATGTACGTATTATATTATTATTTTCTATAATTTTCTTTACTTATATCTGTAAACACAGAATGCAAATTATTACGACATTTATATCACTTACTACACATGTATTTAACATATTTTCTTTTTTATATTGTAAATTCAATTGTAATATAATAAATTAATTACTTTTTCAATTTGTTAATTGTTCATTGTACACAATTTATCCATTTTTATAAATAATTTATATATCATTTATTATTCATTAACAAATAATTAATTCACACACATAATTTTATATAATTTTATAATATTAATATTGAAGGGTGTTAGTTGCTAATATATATATTATTGTAGAGGCATTCTTCAAAGGATTGAAAAACTTTTCTAAATTTCATCGCGTGTATTTAAAATAATGAAAAATATCTATCCTGGCGTTTAAAGTTCACAAATAAAAAAATAGGTTAATCGCATCTTTTTATCAGACGGGAATGTATTATCGAGGCCACGAGAACGTTCTTCGCGCAGGTGCTCGACATGCGAGACCTTTCGATCGTGTCTTCCTCACCTGAGAAAGATGTTTGTCCCTCTGCCTTGATCTGGATCATCGTCATCGTCTCGGCAACGGAGATCGAATCGATCTTGATAAAATACGGGAAAAAAAAGAAAAATATCATCGCATCTGTATAAGTTTCGATGTAGGCGGTTGCGAATTATACATCGATAAGCGAGTTATCAGAATACTGCGAGTGAGTCAAAGAGGCACTAATCGTTTTATTATCGATTACACCAGTTCGTGATGTACACACGTGTAAAGTTGCGACGCCGAAGTAAGCTTCTCCGTTCTTTCGATCAACCACTTGATATCCGATTATTATAGAGGACCGAGGTTGTGACTAATTGAATCAAACACAATGTGTTATAATCGAGAGTGTTCCATTTGTCAAGATTAACGCCTGAACTGTTCTCAGCCTCTGTCCGAAGGAAATAAAAATTATCAGCGGGGAAAAAAAATGCGCAAGTATCTTTCACGTTAAGCTTCGCGAGATTCGCTAATCCGATAGCCTAACAAAGGACATTTTCTGTGCGAGCTCTCAAGATCCTTTACAAAGAAAAATTGTTCGGTTACTTTTGTCTTTTTTTTATCTTTTTATCTCGTCCAACTAAAAATCTAAAAATATGATAATTTGATAACAAAAAAGTACAAGATACTTAATATCTTAAAAATTGGGAAAAACACGTTTTACACTTTACATATTACAGACATTAATATTATGGTGCAAAATGTTTTTCTATTCTTTTTTGAAAAAAAATTCTTTTTTTAGAAATATATCATTTTCAACCTTTTTATAAATATTTATTACAACAAACAATATTTCTCGATTAAAAAGACCAACAATATTTGGTTATATGCTATCTACTCTAAACATTTGCAGGAAAACTTTTGTATTCTCCGCCGTTCTAAATCAGTTGCAACTTTACAAGGTAACGAACTATAAAAATAGTACGTCGCCGTACGTAACGTTTCATTGCCAGTATAGAAGTACAATATGGAAGTTTAAGTCTGATCTCAACCCTCGCGCGAGTTAAATTTTAAACGCGCGGCCGGAATCAATGTCGCGCCAACGCATACACGTGCACCAGCGACGGACGTAGGCACGGATGACATTTTTCTTGTCTTGTCTGCCGACAGATATTGATGTGGATGTCGAACATGGTGCAAAAGTCGGACAACGGAAGCGACGCCGTAGGTGACGCCGGTCTCCGCGTGCACGCGAGTTCGATCGACGACGAGTCGTTCGCCACGACCTTGACGCATTAGAAGAATTGCGGATGTGCGTCGGACGCGATCGAAATGTCGTTTTTCGGACGGAAAATGGGCGGCGGCGGGGGCGGCAGGGGTTCCGAGCACACCGGTCATAACTTGCAGGACGGCCTCTTTCAAATCGCATCGCAGGCCTGTCACATCCTCGTGCAAGTGAGTCGATCTCTCTGCGTCGAAACTTTGTGAAGTTCTTTGTCAAGTATTTCATAAGACATTAATCGACACGGAATTTAAGGATGTATAATGTGTGCAACATCTCAAAATATCAAACAAATATATATAAATTTCATACGTTAATTGATCTATTATCCGCGCGTGTATGTAAAATTTGAGCACAATTTTTTTAAAAGTTATTTAAGATTTTGTTTGTTTTGGATTCTTTTGTATATAATCACGTTTTATAATACTTATTTGCAAATTTAACGAAGATATTTTTAGCACTACTATAAATTAAATTCAATTCTATATATATATATGTCTATTAATAAATCTTTAATATTTGTGCAAAAGTTTACTTGAATCTTCTTACTCGTTTAGAAGTTATTTATCTAAAGCTGCAGCAAAATATGGCCATTGCACTGCATAAGACATTATAAGCCAATTAATTATTTGTTTTATTTTTTTCAGATTAATTATTCATTATTTTTTATTTCCGAAAATTATGTAGTTGATATTAACTTACTTCATATTAGCTTCTTTGGCTGATACTTTACAGCTAATATTGCACATTCTAAATATCTTTAAAATGACATTGAACAGAAGACAATATTTAAATATCTATTATATTTAAAATATTACAATATCTATATGTGTATATATATATATATACGACGCTTATTTATTTATCTCAAGATATTATTTAATGTCTATTAAAATCGTAGAAGACAATAACAAACACTGAAGATAAAAAGAATACTGGAATCACATATTATTATAGATATTATCAAGAAAATTAGAGTTTGACATTTTACTGGTAAAACTGAATGCGCTTTGTTATTTTATTCTTGACAATAAATTATACAATATTGTGTAAAAGATGCAAAAAAAAAGAGTAAAATATAATTTACATGCAGCTGTATATGCATTTATATTTCAGCAAAATCAGCAAAATCCGCATGACACGCATGGTTTTTTCATGTTTGATTCATATTGTTCATGAATCACCAAATGTATTTCGTATGTAATAGTGATGTTTAAATCAAGCAAATATAGAATGCATTGTAATTTCAATTCTATTTTAACGACATTATTTACGCATACTTGGTTTTTCAAAAGAAATTTCTCCTTTTACATTTGTAATGTTTATCCTTCAGGAGAAATTCACATTTTTTTCAATTGATAGACTAAGAACTTAATTAATTATACTCGCATGATGCAACAAAAATCATCAGGACTTAGGAGTATCTTGCATTTGCAACATTACGAATTCGAAATCAAACTATCTACAGCAAAAACTTTAACTGATCTCTTGATTTTTTAACATTTGATTTTAAAAACTTGTGCAAAAATGTTTGCTAAATCTTAAATTAAATGAAATTGATATAAAATGCATTTGAAATTAACTGAAGAATAAGATTTCGCTTTATAAAAGTAGATACAGAGTAAAAAAAATTTCACATAAAGATACAACAATTATAATAGATAATTTTGAGACTCATTATTAAAAGTGTACATTTACACACGTAAGTACAATTTAAGTAACTTACAACAAAAAATAAATAATGTGCAAAAGTGAAATACAATCAAAGTTTATAGTTTAATATTTACATTTCCGAGTAACACAATTTATTGGCGAGATATTGGTATACATTAAGGACGTATCAAGCCAATATTGCGTCAATAAATTGTGCTACTAAGATAATAAGTTGCCAATAAAGTACATACAATTTTTCTTAAGCTGTATTATCAATATGTACTAACATAAAAATATAAATACAATATGTATGACATTACCACTGTGTTGGATAATATTACAAAAATTTGTAAGTTGTTTGTAGTAAAAACTTATGAAAAGAAGAGTATAAAAATTACCGCACAAGATATTGTTTGTGATATTTAATTATCATTACATTAATAAAACATTAGACGTTTCGGCCACAATCTGGCCATCTTCAGTAAATTCACAATATTCTTAGAAATTCAACCTTTGTGTAATATAACTATGTATAACAACGTGTTCTTTCATCTTGTGAAGGTGCATCGTACAACAATGTTGCAGCGCCAATTATCATATTGAGAATTATGTAGAACAAACAAAAATTTCCAGATTCTAATTTAAAAAATTATCCTAATCTCTATTAATTAATCTATCATTAATATCTTCTAGTCGAAATGTATGAGAATAGAATCGTTACCTGTTTTACAGCAAAAAAATGATGGATCTCAAGTACATCCTTTACATAGTTGGAAATTTGTCGTTGAACGACGGTTGAATTTAATGTCAGATATATGTAATTCTGCGTTTTAAGAATATTGTGAATTTACTGAAGATGGCCAGATTGTGGCCGAAACGTCTAATGTTTTATTAATGTAATGATAATTAAATACACAAACAATATCTTGTGCGGTGGTTTTTATGCTCTTCTTTTCATGAGTTTTGATTTATAAACCACGTTCGTTTTTATTATGTATTTTGTTTGTAGTATTTACATAAAAACTATAAAATATAATAATGATATTGTTATTAATTTTCCATTAAATGTAAAGACTCATACAACTACAAATAAAAGTACTAATTTTTGTAAAAACGCACAATTTTATATATTTCTATTATAAATTGAATAATTTTTATACATATTTATGTAATTTTACATACTTTTTTTACATTACACATAAACCGAGTTTTTTAAATTCATTGAGCAATGGCATTATAATAGAAGAATCCACTATGAATCGCATTGTGCGCGAATGTAATTTTGTTCAGTAAAAGCTGCATTTGCGCATAATACGATTATAGATCGCTTTCAATTTTTTCTTCGCTGTCTGAACAATTGATCGAAAATAACCTATGTTATAAAAAATAAAAATAAATCGTTTTCTTTCCGTCAAGGTGAACAATACGCACAACGTTTCTTATGGAGGTAGCAATAATGTGAATAATATCGCATATTCGAAATATTCTACGGCCGGCGGCGGCACCACCGTTCCAACATCGTCGACGTCGACGAAAGGAGCGACCGTTGCCAAAGCGTATCCGAAATATACGGAGCCTCGAAATAAGGATCAGGATGTGGTAGTATTGTTGCCGCATCGTAAGAACAGAGCACCGCGACTCAAGCACAAATTATCGGTAGGTCCTCATATTGTTGCCCTCAGTCGTACATTTAAAATTTATTCACGCCATTGTCGTGTGAAGGTTTGTCCAAATAAATCGAAGATTTACACAGAAAAATTTGCGCAACGCTTACAAGGCTAACGAGAGTGAAGCGCAAATTTTTATATGTAAATCTTTGATTTATTTGGACAAATTATGATTGTAGGATTTACGACTCTTATGCTCAAGTTGTGATCATTGCGACTATCAAAATCCGTCTCTCACCTTTTTATTATTTTGACAAATAATAAAGTCTGCACACCTCGTTATCATATTAATACGATAAAATCCATGTAGTCGTTTTTAATCAAAGAGAATTTAACAATACAAATTTAACATACAAAAATGAAGAACTTGAAGCATTTTTCCTTTGTATATTAAATCTCCCGAGTAGATTTTTATAAGTATAATCAACAATAGTGCTAATCACCAATAATATTGTACAACAGCATTGTACAATATGCAACATGTGACTATATAAAAATAACGCACGTGATACATTCTGTTACAGACTGTATCCGAAAACGCACGGCTGGATGTGAATTCTCCGGGAGGTGACGACGACCTAGAGTTATGGGACCAGACCGGGTTTATGTTGCGGACTGACGTGGACGATCCTCTCACGAATGCAAAGTACAAATATTTTAATTTAAAAAATTAGACATTATAGAAGGAAAAATAGATGACAATAATTATTAGAAGATAATATATACGTTTTTCATTGTTTCGTTAATTATTTGAAAATAGTACGTAAACATAACTTAATAAAACTTTTCCACTCTTCGAACAGCTATATCCTTGGTTGACGAATAAATTATTATTTCATATAGAGAAAGCTATTTCTACAAATTAAAGTCAACTATGCATTAAAGAAGCTACTTAAGATTTAAAGATTTTTAACTGTACAAAAATATTGTGTTTCTATTATGATTAAATTATAGTAATAGTGAACGCTCATATTTCCCATCAAAGGTGGGGTGCGCAGAGTTGGTGCAGACCCAGTTGCATTCCGATAACGATCATATTGATTTTGATCGTTTTGGTCGTACTTTTGCCGCTATTGGATCATGCGGCGGATAAGTATTCGCTAAATGCCACCGTGTTGGATTCGGAATCAATGTGCATGGATCATTGCAGTTTATCCCTGGTAGAAAGTATACCTATAGGTTTGAATTATAGCAATAACACGGTGCAGCACGAATCAACCTATGATTCTTGGATGAATCTCATTGAAATGGCGCAGGACACGATTGAAATTGCGTCGCTTTATTGGACAATGAGAAGGGAAGATGTGTTTCCCGACGACAGTGCTAAGATGGTAAATAGTAAAGTTGCAGTATCATAAAACATATTCAATCCACTGACATCCATTAAAAACAAAGTGTCTCGTTAGGGAGAACAGGTATTCCAGTCATTGTTAGAAGCCGGAAGAGATAGACATATCATGCTAAAAATTGCACAAAATCTTCCTTCTCGCTTGTCTCCAAATGTCGATACGCAAATTTTGGCCAAAAAGGCTAACGCACAGGTAATATTATAATCATAATATTATAATAAACACAATTTATCATTAAATTTCCATATGAATTGTAAAATAAATCTGTTTATAAATAAATCTGTTTGGTAAATATTAAAAACAACGGACCCCCACCTCCAATGACTTTTACCTTGACATATATTGTCATTATCATAACTCAGAGTGATCTTCGGAAGGTTTTTAGCCCGCACTCGTTACACGTTAAAAAATTATTAATAAAATAAATTTTATAATTAGAACACAAAGTTTACTCTTATAGGAATTAATGACTTTCCACGTGAACCAAAGTCCACCTTAAAATCAGATGAGGGTTGGGTTAAGTTAGGATTAGATTTAGTGGGAGTGTAGGGGCGGAGCCCACACGTATACCTTTTACACGAAACTATTTGAAATAGAATAATTGTTGATCTTGTTTCACTCCAGAAGCAAAAAGAAGAAAAACACGCGTGACAACTTATCTGATTGAGAGGTAGACCTCGATTCGTGTGAAAAGTGGCACGCCCTTAGGTAGAAAGAAAGGTGGGGTGGAAGTCACTTCGCGTGGAAAGTCGTGCACCCTAGAGGGAAAGATGGGATGGAACTCGCTTTGCGTAGAAAATCATTAATTTCTGGAGGATGGGGTAAATTTTGTGTTCTATTTATAAAACTATATATAAAACTTATTTTATTAATAACTTTTTAACGAATAACAAGTGCGGGCTAAAATCTTCCGAGATCATTCAAAATTATGACCTTGATAATATATGTCATCGAAGGTGGATTCATTATTTTCAATACCTATCTTATATTTGATCAAAGCGGATCTTAGTGCTTAAATATTTTTGTTTGAATTTATGCACATCTGATTCTATAAACCGCACGCCGAAATCTTTTTCGATCTTGAAATGTAATTGTGAACAGAATTACTTGCAGAACCAGAGTAGCAATTTAATAATTTCTCTCGTTTATCTAAATTATTAATATGTTCTAATAAAGTTGCTTATTAGCAAATAAAAAATTATTTAACTGCTTGTCATTTTAATAAATAACGTTATTATTCCAGTTCTGTCCATAATTGCATTTCAAAGGCGAGAAAGATTTCAGCGCGCAATTTGCAAAATCAAATATGTATATATAAATTTACACAGAAATATTTAAGCATTATGATCTGCTTTGACCGGATATAGGATTTCTTTTATTTAATTTTTTTATTCTTATTGTTGGTAATTTTTTAACATCTATTTATTAAAATTTAATCGCGCGACATGATATGATTTTTATCGTTTTTTGTTATATGTAATTTTGAAGGCAACGTAATAAATTTTATTTGAACTCAGGTGAAAAACTTAAATTTCGCTGGATTGTTGGGCGGCGGTGTACTTCACACGAAATTATGGCTTATCGATCGTACTCATGTATACGTTGGTTCAGCGAATATGGATTGGAGATCCCTTTCGCAAGTAAAAGAACTCGGTTTGCTAGCCCTGAATTGTTCCTGTTTAGCGAACGATTACGCCAAAATATTCGATGTAAGCTGTAAAATAAGTTACAAAAATATGCAATAACTATGTTTTCTATCTTTGAAAACTATTATTGATTTTTTTATTTTATAGGTATATTGGAAATTAAGCGAAGATGGTAAAGTGCCTTCCACATGGCCAGATTCCTTTAGCACAAAGATAAATATTGATAATCCTATGAATTTTACATATATGGATAATAAATACAAACTGTTTATCGCGGTTAGTATCAGCTTAATAAATATGTTGTGCAATTATTTTTTCTAGATTGTGAAAATATATATTATATATACACATATATTCATGCTAAAAATTCCATATATATTCCGTGGATACATACTTGTTTATAACGGCTATTCTTCATGTCTTTGACTAACCAGAAATTGGTACAAATGCTAAAAACCAATATGGCTGCTTGCCATATTGGTTTTTATGCGCAATGATATCTTGTAATTTTAGATTATGTATGTTAATATTATGTTACAGAGTTCACCTCCACCATTTTCACCAAAAGGTAGAAGTAGCGACCTAGACGCGATTGTGCACTGCATTGCTAAAGCGGAAAAGTTCATTTATATCTCTGTGATGGATTATTTCCCGTTAACAATATATACTCCACAAATAAAGTATGTATAAAGATAATTGTATATAAAATACAATGAAATAGATCGTGTTAATTCTGACCGTGAATTGCCACGCGCGATTATTAACTATCAATACGTAACTCACGGACAGACAACCGTTTAATGGATATATATAATTTGTAATTGACTAATTTTAAACCTAATTACATTCAAAAATTATTATTCAAAAAATGGCAAATACTTTTTAAACTTATTTTTTTCGAAAACTTTGTTTGCTGTTTCGTATTTCGACTTACAAATTTTGAGATACCTTGTATAGAGATCAGCCTTTACGATTTAATATTTATATTGTTACATTTAATATTAATTATATAAATGTAATTAATTATATAATATAATTTTGAAACTTAATGTCTTATTTTAGCAATACAAAAGAGTAACTAATCATTATTTTCTAAGTAACGATAACGATAATGCGTTACTTTTAAAATCCCCATAACAAAAATAATCGCAGTAATATCGCAATAAAGTCATTGTGATATGTGAATGTCCGCTTTGTCACAGGTATGATATCGCTATGACATAATTATAAAGCTGTGAAAAAATTGCACTTCACTGTGACACTGCTGTGACATACATAGATTAAGATAATAATGTAATGTCACATGGTCGATATTCATAATCCGCTTTTATTTTACGATCGTTTTAAGTAATGTTTTAAGATGCTAATACGACTCTTTAATTGATTCATGATATCTTAAGACATTCATGAATCTTAAAATAAATATAAGAATCGATTATAAATACCGGCCACTGTGATTTTTTAATAATCTCATCATAGTGACATCACAATTTATCTGTGACTATTATGAATGTGACTGGTTTTACTACGGGGGAAATTAGCAATAAATAATGGTAACATTCGCAAATTTTAAAAAGAAGTAACGCGTAATGTGGTAACGCGTTATTTTTATAAAATAACGTTTTATAAATAAATCCTATAAATAAATATTAATATTAAATAGACATAAATTCTTCTGTTAATAATTTAAGAACTGTTTTATATCTATATTTGCAGATATTGGCCTATAATAGATAATGCTTTAAGAGCGGCGGCGATCGAGCGTAAAGTAGAAGTGCGTCTTTTGATCTCTTGGTGGAAATACTCGAGACCGTCCGAATCGTATTTTCTTAAATCACTGCAAGACTTGACATCTAGTTATCCCAATGTCAAAATCGAAGTGGTGAGTAGAGTATTCTCTTTTTAGAACACTTATGAGTGTACGTATTTTTCTATTGACGTTGAATTATCGAATAGAGAAGGTTTATTGTACCCACTGATCCACACTTGAATAAAATACCCTACGCGAGAGTAAACCACAATAAATACATGGTTACTGATGTAGCAGCATATGTCGGAACGAGTAATTGGTCGGGTGATTATTTTATTGACACAGCTGGTAAGTTCATTCAAATGTCATTTTTCACGAAAATAAAATAAAATAAATTAAAGTAGATAGTAATAAAACTTACTTGTTATGCTTGTACAGTAAGTCAAGTAAGAGCGTGGTCGACCAGCGTGGTGTTGCACCATTTCATGTTATTAGTCTTGAGATAGATTCGAATAGTTTCGTTACGATATATCTAAACCTTTCTGTTTCAATTTTGCTTGTCCTTGACGCAGTATTAAGCCAGGATTAACAGATTGACTATTTTTGTATCATCTTTTTTGTCCATTTTGCATATCGCGCTACATTCCGGTAAATCATCGACGTTTTTTGCCACATTATATCGCTGCACCCACTTCTATATGAATGATTTTTTCATATGATGACTTTTTCATATATTTAGCAGCTAATTGTGACATTTTTGGGTGAGTGCAGAGGAACACAGCTTCATAACGTGATGCGTATTTGGTACTCATGGCGCTTAATGTGATTCTCTTAAGAAAGTTCAATGACAACTGAACCTTCCTTGATAGTGCATCAAGGGCAAAGGTGCTCTCTATGGATTCATGATAAATTTAGGACGATCTTTTATTAGCTTTAAGTAAGGCCGACCACGATCTTACTTGACTTACTGTAAATGAATTATATGAAAAATATATCATATATAAGTATCTTTCTTACAAAATTACATTTTATAGTAAATATTTATCTTAGGTATTGGTACCGTATTTGAAAGCGTTGGACATCAAAATAACGGCAACATAAGGCAACAGCTGGAAAATATCTTCCATCGTGATTGGTATTCCAATTATTCTTTTCCGCTCAATATAAATGAGACTCATTCTGAAAATTTATGGGACTTATCAAGAAGTTCATATCAACATTCATCATATGAACCTTATATACATGTATAATTATAGTAATCATATACACAGTAGTAATTTTTAATCATAAAACATATAGGATGTTCCATCTCTCAGTAAACTTTAGCTCACTGTATTATACTCTCTCACTCTCTTATGTTCTTACTCTTTTATTCTTTTGATTATCCAGTAGGTAAATTATCACATAATTTATCCGAAGATGGAACAACCGGCCCTTATTGTTTTGATTTGATCGAGGAGAATTCATTTACATTGGAACAATTAAAATTATTTTATGTATTTTTTTATTATATTCTAACCGTAAACTCTCTTTACTGTTAAACATTTTTGTAAATATTATCTTAAATTTTCAAAAATCTTCTGCGCAAACAGAAGATATAATATCTGGATTTGTATAATTTCTGTATAAATTTGTATAAATTCTGTAATTAGTATAATTTAATCACACTTTTTAGAAAATTTATCAAATTTTTAAATATAAATCGGAACACTTTTCAGAAATACTAAGAAATCTACACTTTTTTTTTAAATTCTTTACTGCTGAATTCTCTCCGAAATATTTTAAAATTTCTAAAATTTCTTATTCTGTAATTTCCGAATAAAGTTTAAATCGGAATTAAAATCGGAAAAAGTTCAAGATATTTTTTCAAAAATTTTCATAAAATATAAAAAATTCTTGAAAATCCAAAAAAAAATCAGGGCGAATGAGAGTCAACGTGGTAGTTAATATGCAATCTTAAATCTTTATTCTAGAAAATAGAATCTTTATTTTTAAAAAATAGTATATTTCAGTTCACTTTGGAACCATCCTCAGCAATACAAAATATCAACCCCTTCATGTCCAAGAAAAAGTCACCATCAGATTAACAAATTTGATGTTGTAATTTATTCGAAACATTAAAACAATTATAAATATTTCGAAACTATACTCTATCCAAGTTACAAATTAACATTAAAAAACTGACTCACTCCAAGACTCACAGAAGGAATCTTGACATTGGATCAAATTAATTTATATTTAATTTATATAAATAATGTTACATTATTGCATTTCTTGATATTATTTTTGTGTCGAGTTTTTATTTAATTGATTTAATTAGATGTTTGATAACATTAATCATTTTCATCGTTTTAATTATGTTTCGTTTTTGCATTTTCACTATGATATTTTTTATGAAAACTGTTGCTGCTGAAAAAATTAAACTCTGAAACGTTTAGTATTTTTATCACCATTGTCAGTAAATTTAATTATCATAATTACTAAATTATTTTAATTTTACTCTACATTTTCCTCGTTGTTGGCTTTATCTTTACATATTAGGTTGCACAATACGAACCATATTATCATATTTAGTTATTTTTGTCATAAAAATTCTTTTTATCAAAATAATGAGTGAAACTATTACAGTAGGGTAAAGTCGCCTAATATGAGATATCTTTTTTTAAAAACTTATAATTTATTTAATTTGCAACCTTAATTCCTATTTTCGTGTCAATTTTATGAGAAATATATTCAAGATTTACCACTTAAAGTTAGCGATCAATAATAGTTATACTTTGTTGTATGTGAAATTTTTTATCGAAAGTGCTGATTTTGCTCATTCAAAAAATGGGTTCCTAATATGAGATACAAGGGTTTTCTTGTATGAGGTATCTCATAACAAAAAACTAAGGAAAAAATAAAGATAAGCTTTTTATATATGCTTTTATTATATTACATACAAATAGGAAGAAAGAATTTGAATAATTATTATGTTATACATAATAATTATATAAGTTTTTGATGTGTGTGTGTGTGTGTGTGTGTGTGTGTGTGTGTGTGTTTGTGTATGTTGTGTGAGTAATCTTAACAACAGAATATAATTTTTAACATTTTGTTCAATAATATGCTTTGAGATATTAAATCGTTTAGATGCTTTCATATAGCTAGGAATACCTTGAGTATCTCATATTACGACTTCCATGCCTTGCGGTTTCATGATTACTAAATCTAATCTTTACAGTTAAACAAATCATTATTTATGTATTTTCCTATTAATACGACCTTACTCTATCATTGTATACAGACTTTATTACCAAATATTTATTTATTATATAATAAAACAAGATTTGAAGACTAACCTCAATAAAATTCGACAACATCCAATTTCAAAAATCTTTTTTCATAACTACTACACGCATGATTTAATAATGAGTTTTTTACTAAATAATTTCACTCTATTTGAGTAACAAATTTATAATAAAACCAACCATATGCGCTTATTAGTTTAGCAGAAATCCCGCTATTTCATATTGAAAACCTATCCCATAATAGGCGATTTTACTAACAAGTTTGTTTAGAGATATAAATTATTTCATCTTTTGTATAAATATTTCTTAAGAATTATAATGTTATTGATCGTGAACTATTCCTTATAAGAATTATAAGAATTCAATTCATAAAAGCATTTAGTTCACAATGAATTCAATCAGAATTTAATGTTTTTTACTTAATATATATTATATAATAGTATTTTTACACATTTTCTAGTAATTAAATATTTTTCCCAAATTATTTCTCTTCAAAATTTGCTTTCTGAAATTTCTCTGGAATCTTCCAGAAAAATTCCATTGATGAAAAACAATAGATAATATCAGTTCTTTCTCAATACTGATATCTCTATCTCACGATCTTCATTATCCATATCGTGCTACGCTCGCAAGTACCAGATATCGTTTAACAAAAGACGCATATTATATTATTTAATGAGAAGGGTAAAACGTGCCTTACAGAATGACCTTTGCGATAAGCACGGCGATATTAATCTACATTCGAAAAATACACCAGCTCTGCGTTCTTCCATGTAACTCGTGATTTCTCTAGAATTTATCCATTTGTTACTTGTGTTGTTGCCTTTCTACTAGTATGTATATGTATGTAAAAATGGGACCTGATTATGTCTTGATAAGTATAAAAAAAAAGAAGCAAAATAATTAAGTGATATTTTATTCCGATAAAATAGCTACTATGTATCTTGTGCGATACATTAATTGCATTCAGTAAATAAGGCAGTTCAGTAAAAGATCAATGATTCTTCATTATATAACTGGTTTTTACACCTCATTGTCAAATCATGAAGAATTAAAGGCAAGCATCAATCATATTAAAAATTACTAAGATACTTTTTTGCTGAACGCAGCTATAATTGATTAAGTGGTATCCGTTTAATCTTTATGCACAATTATTATAATAACGCATTTAATTCTGCCATCACTGAAAAAATAAAATAAGACAGGAAAAGACTAATGTTGTCGAAACAGCAATGATACGCAATGCAATGATACGCAACTTGCAGCCCATCAATTAATTTTTTACGGCCCGCTCGTCAGCTTACAGCCAAAAATATAAAATTATGTATGTATACATATAAACAAAAATTTATTATCATATCTAATATCAGTAAAGTAATTATAAATACATGTCATTATAAATCTATTTATAATTTTATATATATATACACACACACACACACACACACACACACACGCGCGCGCGCGCGCGAGGGATGTATTAGAAACCTGAATAGATCGAATCAGGTTTGAATAGGAATTTTTATCGGGATCGCATCAGGTTCCCAAAGTATTCAGGATTCCCACAGAAATCTCGATTCGAAAATCTCAATTCTTTCGTAAATCACGATTCTTTCAAGAATCCCGACTCTCGGGATTCCTGAGAGTTTTTGAATCGATTGATTCACTATTCCCGAAACTATCATTTTTCCTGAAAAATTCGATTATCGTTTCGAGACTCGTTTCAATAAACTCTTTTGAATTTTCAATTTTTCACTCCTTTTCGAAAATAGTAATCGGATTGTCGATATTTTTGAGAACATAAATTTTTTCGAGAATCTCGACTTTATCGAGAATTTCAACTCCCTCGGGAATCCTCGACATTTTCGAGAATCCGAATACTTTCGAAAATCTCGAAATTTTCGAGACCTGACCCGACTCGATCCCGTCTTCCCGATCCGTCCCATCGGGTTCCCGACATTTTCAGATTCTCACACACCTCTAATAAACATATATCTATAATTGTCTTATTGATATTAGACATAAAAATTTTATCTTTATTATGTGTACATATATAATAATATATATGATAAATTATGTAAGTAACATATTATAGTAATTTACACAAATTAAATAAAATCTATCATATATATGTACATATTACCGTTTCTGCATTTCACAAAAACTTAAATATCTCGATAAAAAGAAATCATAGAGTTTTTTAAAATGCCTTTAAATGTTTAAATAAGAAAAATAGAGCTTCAACTTAGCATTTATCTCTATGGTATTTTGTCCCTGAAGTGTACAAAATTTAATACTGATATTTGTTCAATTTTTGTTATTTTTTGGAGCGCTCTACACCTGGATGGAATATCATCAGGCAAAATTTAACAGACAAGCATTCTTCTTCATAAGTTTTAATAAACGATTTATTAAGATAATAATATTTACAACAAATAAAAAACAATGTTTATACCAAAGTTGGATCTTGAGTGCTTTAAATAATTTCATGTAAATTTATACACTACGTTTGTATTCTCAGAAAACATTACGTAATTTTTGATCCACTCGAATTTTAATCAAACTTGGCATTAATATTTATCACCACCAAAGATGAAAATATATAAAATATTTCGTCGAAAATCCTGTGGTTTAAGAAATGCGGAAGTTTTTTGCATAAAAAATAATGAAAATAACACAAAATGTGACTCTGTGTAATATTCTATTATTAAAAAATCTATTATTAAAAAAAGTAACAATTAAGTACAAATATAAGATTGACTATTGAATGGTCAAAACAGAATACATATATGCAATAAGCACAGCGGAAAAAATTAATATTAGTACAATTTTCAATATTATATTAAGTATCTAATTCGAATGTGAAACAATATTCTAATGGTGTTATACAATAATCTAAATGAGAAGATAGAAAACATGATTTTGAAAAAGCATGCTATTTTGAAAAAAATTGTATGGATCAAGTACATTATTATAACAAATATTTTTTTTGTTTTTTTTTCTGTACATTTTTTGTTTCAAAATTAAAAAAACATTATAAAAAAAATAAATTTTAACACGATAAAGTTTTATACAATAAAAAATTCGATATCTTTGTGAAAAATCATCGTAACACTTTTTTTCAAGAAGCATTTTAAAACTTAAAATGTTTGTCTTTTGTCTGATGATGTTTCATCTAAGTAGAGCGCTTTAAAGAATACAACACTTACTGAAAAAAATATCAATTTTCAATTTTATACACTTCAAGAACAAAATATCATAGAAATAAAATTCAAACGTTAAGTTGAAGCTCTAGTTTTCCTCTTTAAAATGCATTTTTAAAAACTTGTCTACGATTTCTTATCCCCGAGATACTATTAAGTTTTTGTAAAATGCAAAAAGTCGCAAGCGTTCCCGAATTTATGTAATAAAGGTAATGTATACATCTATATGAAATAGACCTTATACGGCTCATAAGATTTTACTTCTATATCTGAAAATCAGTTTAAAAAGGATTGCGTATCGTTGCACACTATATAAACCTTTATTATGTCTTAAATTATGTTTCAATTATAATACTTACAGTATAATCATAATTAAATGTAAAATGCATGTTTAAAAATGTAAACAACAACTCACAAAGTGAGTTAAATGACATTAAAAATTTCTATTAAGTAATAACGGAAGCCAGTATTGACAATCTACATTTTATCTTCTATTATTTGCGAAATTAATATAGAGCTGAAAAAAGTATACATTTAAAATGTATCGACTTATGTCTTCATAATAAAAATATCATCACAATAATTATAATTGACTTTTAATGGAGGACACTAAAATTATAGATTAGTTTCTAAAAGTATAAATGATATTACTATAAATTCGCTACTTTGCGTATTTAATTGTAAATTAATGGATCGCTTTATGAAATACTGTGATTGCGCGCGAAATACATAAATTATACATAAAGATTTTTTTTGCTGTGCTTTATTTTGTGTGCCTTATTTCAATTATAAGTAGTAAAACTCTTATTATTCAATAACAAGAATGAATGGATTAAAAATTCCAGAAATGTGCATTCACAAACATTAAAATAAATCCTTTTCAATCCAAATGCACATTTACATTCATTTATATGAATTGAATGACGCACATTTCTATATATATATATATATATATATACCTTTTCAATTAAAAAATAAAATACCAGCTCTTCTGAGTCCCGCGAATACTTCTTAATTCAAAATTCTATATAGGAAATGCAATTCTTTAATCCAATTGAATCCAATTGTATCTAATTAAATCCAATTCAATCTCCAATTTAATCTAATTAAATTAAAAAAAGTTTTTGTTATTTAAAATACGCATTCGGATAAATAAAACTTCAATTCATTTTAATTTATTCTTATTTATTATACTGGATTATAATTATGCAAAGATAACTTATATGATATTTGAATGGCTTTGTCATAACTCTATAAGTAATATGACAAAAAAAAACTTTAATATGAATTCCGAGATCTCTTTCCTTTTTCCTTACATATATATATACTAGGTCATTTAAAAAGTATCCGCGGTTTTTTGTTCAATTTTTGAATGAAAAAACCGCGGATACTTTTTAAATGACCCAATATTTTCTCAACTTAATGTTACCATAGGACAGATTCGTCGGATCCGATTTTATATTTAAGATTGATTAAAGTCCAACTTCAGATAATCTTAAAATTTCAGCTATTGACCATATAATATCTCGAGATTTTATAGGTTGGAAAAATTCATAGCACTATTTCATTTGTATCTTATTTGTTTAAAAAAAAAAAAGACAATTATACCATTCGATAATATGAAGTTTCAGCTTTAAGTTGGTTCTTTAAGTGTCAAAAATTTAGAGTGCTTCACCCAGGTTTCATCCAAAATTACAAATATTTTCATAAATTGAAAAAAACATTAAAATTACGTATCTTAATGAAACTGAATCTGAATGAATATGGAACATATGATAGTAAATCAAGAGCAATATCGAGCGAAAAACAAGATGAGATTACATTTGCTTTTTGAGAGGTTAATTTTACATGCATGTTTATACATATGAGTGCATAAATTAGTGTGCTAAACGCTAAACTAGTAGTTATATCACGAGTTAAAATTGATTAGCAATTTAACAATTTGATGTTTTTTCGCATCTTCAAACGATCTTAATTATGCTGAGTGATATATTAAAATCTGTAAATGATTAATTCTTATTGCGAAAAAAATTAACAAATTTATTTGTAAAACAATTTATATGATCCATTCTTTAGAATAAGCATAATACGCGATACAAAAGATAACAAAATGAAATGACATAACGCAGTAAAAAAAGAAAGCAATAAAAATTATTGATGACTCAAGACACGCGTTGACACGTGAATTGTATGTAAAATGCTAATCAAATTAGCATTATATTAAGTAACAAATCAAGTTAAATATCAAGTGAAGTATATATTTTTTATTTTGCTCCGTCCTCTCAGTATCTTCTCAAGAAGCGGTATGTGGCTCAGATGATTCAGAATTGCAGTTAGGTCACCAAGTTCTGAGACCTCTTCAGTGCGTAAAGATGTTCTTACATTGACTCGTGAACGGATCCAATCCCCTCCACAATACAAAGGCTGTTCGGATAACCGTTGTTAATAGGTCGATATTCATAAAACTGGAACAGCAATACCGGTAACGCAACTGTGCTTCCTTCTTACAATTAGTCGAAGAATACAAATTTCATTTTGTAATCACTAATCTTGGGAATATCAATTCTATCAATTCTATTTCTTTTCATAAAAGTCAGTATTTAAACTCCGGAGGCTGTTCTCCGAAGATAAATATTAATATTCAAACTAATTAACTGTAAAATTTTTTCGTATAAATTTAACGGTACAAATAGAATCGAAATGTAGAAACTTCTATAAATAGTATTTCAACGAACAATGCCTTGTTTTAATGCCTGAAACTTGCTTATAATATAGCTTTATATAATAATATTAAATGCGCATAGTGTTTTCAATCAATTTTCAGTCAATTTTAGAATAATGACTCGAAGAATATATCATTAGGTTCGATTAAGAAAATCCGTTCCTAATGATAATATGGATTAACTAATTTATCGTTACTTTAATTTTAATTTTAAATTCTAAATAAAATTTAATTGATTATGTAAATTAAAAAATTAATATGTCGTAACAAATAATTTAAATTTGGATTTAAATAATGAGTTAAGTAAGGTAGTCGAAATATTAGAAATATCACTTGTCTCTGCAAGAGAAATTTTTACATTACGATAAAACTAATTTCGAAGAACAAATTATGTCTGATACTCATTGAATGGTTTAACTTTTACAGACAGTTTATTATTCATATATGTGTATTTTTTTATTAGATACAAGAATAATGTTTATTTCAATGTAGACTCAAATTCCTAAGTAAGAGCATATAACATTCGACCTTGTCTGCAAAACTTCCTCTTTGCGCGTTTTCCACAGCGTAGTTCTGAGAAAAATATTTGAAATTCTAGTTAAAAATAAAAAAATTATATATAGTAGAATTTTTTATGTTAAATCTATTAGAATTCTGATACTAATTGAGATAAATTCTCATTCGGAATTCTGATTGATATAATCAGAATCTTGTGATTTATCCAGACATTTTCAAGCAGACATTTTTCTCAATGAGTGCGCTTATCGTCCCTAAGGAGGCTGTATTCGTAAAAAATAAATCGAAGGATGCTCATCTTTGATTTCATCTTTTCTTTTACTTCGTACCAAACGCTGACGTAGATAAATGAAGAGGAGGAAGACGATAGCCCGATAGGATACGGTATTACTGAAGAAGGGGTACGAAGGTAAAGAGGTGGCAAAAGTGGGACCGCGTCAGCTCAAGACCTGAGTGACAAAATGCGAGCTGTTTTACTCGCGAAAAGTCGTCGAGGCAGAAAAGAGGATCGATAGATCCACGCGCGCGAGGAGAAAGTTTTATTACATATATATCTACCGATATTCAAGTCCGCCTGATATTGCCTGCCTATTTGCCTGAGTATCTGCCAGCTCGTCTTGACTGACTGCCTATCTACCTGTTCGCTGTCATCGCTGCGATCCGAGCAATTCCTTTTGTCGATTATCTCTCGTCGTTCAATAAGGTTAGTGAAAGATTAACATTGTTGATCGATATGCAGGACACGTTCACACGAGTATTTATTTCGCAGTGAATTCGCGACATGCGTTTTTTTCTAATCGTATCTTAGTTTATCACGTTTCCTCGATTGACTCGTTTTCTAGTCGACTTCTCTATTTCCGCGAGGGTACAAGGCGATTGAAACATGTCAGCGTAAGTCTCATCACAACCCTTTAGACCAACCCAACAGACATAATTAGATCTTACTAATAGTTCTAGAACTGTAGTTCTGAAAACTGTAAATCTTGCAAAAGTAACGTTGCGCTGTTGAACTAGTATATTTAATTTATTTAACTTTATTAATTTTATTTATTATTTCATTTATTCTTCATAAGATAAAGATAATAATATATGATCTTTGTATTCTTTTGTATAGATATCTTTACTTTCATATCGTGCATATTGTGATTCTATTTATATTTAAGTCTAAATATGTTCTTTTTTTTTTTACTAATTACAAACTTTAACATTAAATGAAAAGATTTGCGTCAAATAAAAATGGATTAAATGATTCTTCTTTTTTTCTCTGATGAGATTGAACGGAAAACCTCAACGTGAATCTTTTTTGACTAAAACTTGTGAATCAAGAAAAAAATATTAAAAGAAAATTCAAGCTGTTGCAGCATCTCTTACTGATATCGATTATGCCGTTAAAATATGTCGTTTCTCGAATAAACACGGGAGTGTTTAAAGTATTCGCCATTAAATCGTACCATTCCACTTATTTGCCATAGTTTTTGTATTTGATTTCTCTCTTTCACGGCGTTTACGTCCGGTATCTACTTTCTTTTCTCATCATCGATTTTTCCTGCGTTATCTAAGTGTATTTTTTTTTTAATATATTAAATGCAGACATTATAGAATTGGCAAACAAAATTCGCTTTGACAGTTGATATGTAGGTGTTATATTTACAAAATTTAAGACTGGAATGTGCATTGTGCATATTATCCAACATTTAGACAAACAATTTCACCCGAATGATTGAGAAACTTTTTTCATTTCGTAATTTCTTCGAATTTACAAATACAACATCTTGACTTTGACGCTTGCAGTTAACAAGTACACTTAACGTTTTCAAGAACCATCCACGGTAACACGACTTTAATCACGAATGTAAAGTGCGGAAGTTTGTAATAACTGTATCTCATCATCGCGATATCGATAACAATCGTTCGTACAGAGTCACGCCCGACGAGTTTTGGCAGCTTTTATAATTTTCTCACTTATATCTCTGGAATTTGCCGATATCATTGCCGTAATCATTGTCACGTAGTTCCCAGCTTTCTCGTTTTTCCCTGAGTATAGCCTCTCTTTATTTGGAGTTCATTCAACAACAGTTACTTTTCGCATAACGGGCAACCTGTGGCAATTTCGGTACGCTCTAATAGAACTTAATGTGAAGATTATGGGATGGTAAAATTACAAGGCAGCGAAACACAATAAAAATAATAATTATAGGCAGCAACGCGATATCGTACATGGAGATCTTGCACGCGCGTTTTAATTAGAATGTTTTAATTTTCAACTTAATATTATATTTAATCTCATCGTTTCTCATTACTTATAAATTCTAGAAAAATTACTCTTTAACGAAATTATTATATTTATTAGAGAAAAGTTTAAGAGACCTATTAGTATCGCCGATACTAATAGGTCTCTTAAAGAGATACTTTCTTATTTCTCTGAAACTATAAACATTATATTTTATTGATATTAATAAAAATATGATCTGTTTAGATGACTAAAGAAGTAGAAACCTATAATGTATATATTTATACATAAATGCATATATTTATACATAAATATATATTTATACATAAATAATTTTGCTTATTTCAATATTCTGTATAAAATCGGCTAAAAACGAATTATACAAATGTGAAAATAAAATTCTTTTCATTTTCTTTTGCAAAATGCACAGTTTAAATAACAATGGATACGTTATTTATAATTAGAGCGTTTAAATCAATAAGTCAGATCGTTTTACATGTTTGTAATTTCCTAAATCTGTTTTAATTATATTTTCTCTTTCTTATTTTTTCTCATAGTACGATGACAGATCATAAGCTACTCTAATTTTTATACAGTTACGTTATTGTGTAGTCCTATCAGAGTTGAAGGCATTTCTATATTTATAGAAAAATCTTAAAAAAAAAACGATTACGTTCCATTTTTATGTCTTGCGGAACAGCATAAAGTATACATACAAATCAACATTTTTACATCGAAGTAAAAGAATTCTGAAAATTCTCATAATACATCATTCACTTCTAAGTATTTTGTACAGATATTTCTGTAAAAAGAAAAAAATAGAAATGTGTAGGATTATTGTATACTGTATCAGACACTTATTTTTTATCACACGAAAAAGTTAATTATTGCAAAATTGCAAACAGAATTATATAAAAACTGTTATATTATGTGATAGACGATATTTTCTAATTTGTATTTTTATTTCTTAAGTTTTATTTTTAGCATTCGTTTAAAAAATATATAATTCAAAAACAAAGTGGTGTGGTAATCTTTTTTTATTTTATTGATCAAGAACTCTAAAACAATTTAGAAAATTTTCTAATTAATATATTTGAACTGTTGGAAAAATAAGTCAATTAGATTCAGGACATTGTTTTAAGAATATTAATTTATTATTCTAAGAATATATATCTACGAATCGAAAGGATCACAATTAAATGTTCTAAAGTATCATATACTCGAAATGCAGGCTTTCTATTTGTATATACATATTTGTTCTACAAGTAAGACTTTCTTATGCAAGCTAGATCATATATTCACGTCTACTTTTAGCTTTTACAGCCTTTATTATCAATTAGAAAATTTTCTCTTATCGGTCTATCTGTAGTCTATAGTTGTATCTCAAGTAGCAACATTTAAGTATGTAGTTATCACAAAATCTTTAAAAACATGACAAAATAGCATCATTCAATATGTTTTTAATTTATTTTCATTTAGAAAATGTATGAATAAAATTTTGCAAAAAAATTTTTTTCTGACATAAAAATCGCATTGCATTCCGTGTACGCGAATCACAGAATTAATTATCAAGGCAAAATTTTAACAAATAAGATTATATTATATAAACAAAAACTATTTATTACGAAAGTTCATATCAATTAAGGTATATAAGAAAAGAACAATTTTGCAATATCTAAAAATTTATCTGTGTGTGTGAAAATTATTTTGTTAGATTATTAAAAAATAACTAAGTAGATCACTCAAGCACGTAATGAATGCTGCAAAAAGTTTTGACATTTTAACAATCAGTTTGAGCATCCTATAAGTATTGAGTTGGAAAGAAAGTAATTTTTAGCTCAAAATTATAGAATATATTTGTTAAAAATGAATCAAATTTAAATTTCAAAAAAGGTTTATATTTTTACTTTCAAAGGATCATTATATTATTTGAATTTTTGTAAGTTTGATAATTTTTACATATAAAAAACTGAAACTTGAATAAAATGGGAAATTTTTTTGTCACTTTATAGGCCTTAAGAAAATTTTCTAACATGAACGCTTAAAATTTTTCCTACAAAACTACTTTTTTATGTTCCTAAAATTTTTTTGTTACTGTCATCGCAAGTTAAATAAAACAAGTATTTTGACTTTGATTGTCCACAACTTCATTAAAAATCATTGCGTATAGCAGTTAAAAAAATTATATTCTGAAAAATTCTGAAATTTTGTTCTAAATAACATTATGTACATATTCTTATCTTAATATAAATAAATATAGTTAAGTTAAATATAAATAAAAAAATTATCAAATATAATAGTATAATGGTACATAAAATTTTTACAATAATTATTAGAAGTGGCTCACCATTCTCAGTATAATTAAGAGAATGCAAAATGTTACATAATAAAGATCTATATATTTCCTGTATGATTAGTTTTATAAAATAACAGTTTCAAAATTATTTTCCGAAATCAGTTCTTTGTTATATACCTTTTCTTTCTTGTAAACGGTTAAATTTAATTTTTCTTATCTTCGTTAGAGCTTTATTGTGCTGCTGAATAATTTTGTAACTATTAAGTGATTTCACAATACTACAAAAATCCACGTATTAAAAGCAAATATACACATACGTAAAGAGTTTTCTTTGTCTCTAGAATTCAGTGGTAATGTTTTGTTAATTATGCAGATTTTATATTATGTATGAAGGTCAGACAACTAAATTCATTATCTAAAAATAAACTTTAATTTACTTTTTGATCAATAAATAAGCATGTGCCCATACTATAATAACAAATATAAATAAATTTAAGTATATATAAGAATCGTACATTTAATAGTAAATTTAAATATTATAAATTACTCTAGCAAAAAAGTAGCCTTTTTTGATAATTACGATTATGTCAATTTTATAATAATTATCGAATTTGCTGAAATTGAAAACAATAACGCAAATAATTGAAACTCTTTTTATTTCAAACAAGAAAAAAAAAAGGTAATTAATGAGCTAGGTAATTAATAGCTTGTTATTAAGAAATAAAGAGTTATTAGAAAATAAACCATATTTTCAATTTTGTTTCATTTTTGTCATAGAGTCGACAAATTTGGATTATATTATCGCTTATGCTTTGATTGTATAGGATTTAAAAATCTCAATGTAAAGGCAGAGAAAAATACTTATTTGAAAAATAATCGGTGAAACAGACGACTTTAGGATCCCCTTAAATGGTCGAATCTCAACATAAAAATTTAATAATTCAACGATAGGTCGTCTACTTCAGAAGACACATTCGATATGTTTATAGTGCCTCTTTCACTTCTTTTTTCGCGCCAGCCATGGCGAGAAATCGACCAGCGTTGCGATTTACATAAGAGAATATTCTATACGGTTGCGTTGCTCCTAATGTTGTGTCCAAGTGATTGCTATTCATCGTTGTTATGCTAATTACGCTATGTAAAACGTTGCGCGTTCGATTTCTTCCAATCATCAGTT